TTACTTGTCTGGGTGTTCGGACCAAGGGTATGTTGAATTGTGATGACGAGGAGATCTCACTACAGAGATCAACACGCTTACTACTCGTGAAGCAACGGCAACGATATAGTGATTGGGTTCCAATGATTGAATATCAATACAACTCTTTAGAAAATGCTTATTAATTCCATGGCTATTCAAACATCTGCAATAGATATGTCGAGTTTTAATGTAGGTGTGCAAAAATATTGTGTTACTATCATATCAAAAGTTAATAAAGCGTCACGTTGCAACCAAATCATGCCTAGTTATATATCTCCGGGTATATCTGACCTTAAAATTATACTGCAGAATCACAAAGGCAGTTACAGCTGAAATTTTAAGAGCCACCACATATAAGCTTATCGCAAAAATCACATATATCTTGGCAAGGCTCGATGGATCAAATCATTTCTTTATTCTGTATCAGTAAGGTTTTAATAAGGCCTCATTTACTAATGATCTCACAACATCATGCACAACAAAGGGTACGTGTCAACCCTGCATACAGGGTCTAGTTCCAGTCAAAATTATCAGCGTAAACACATATTTTGTCAGTTGTATTAACCCAACAATTTTCAAAGGATATAAACATCTAATCAACATTAAACGTATGTTATTGAAATAAAAAGGGTTAAGCATATTTTCTTTGAACATTTTAGGCAATGTAAATGAATTTCGGTTGTTTAAAACATTTGGTGTTTCAACGGATTATTATCGCCAGAAGTATTCATTTCTATGCAACTGAGAGTGATTTGCCCAGACTAATTTTTATGTATTTGAAAAGCTCATCTCTTGTTTAGTAATCACTCCGAATTTTATTGCAAACAAAATACTTGCACGTTTAAAAAATGATCGTTTTGTAAAGGTACTAATTTGCATATAAAAATACATATGCGAATATTTCGAGTTCCAGAAAATTTTCCTTTTAATTAAATGGTCTGAAAATCACTGAAATAAATATCAAAGAGTTAGTGAGAAAGCTGCAATTTAAATTTTTAAAATAGCTATTTTAGTTTTTACATGAACTCGGTATAAAGTTTGGCTATTTTGAGAGCTATTTTTAGCAATCAAGCATCTGTCACGCAAAGGCCCAGTATGTGACATGAATTCGCGATTTTCTTGCGAAAAATGAAATATTTTCAAAAACCAATTACACAGCGATTGTTACCTAATCATACCTTACCAATATACAAAATATGAACAGATTTGATTTTTCGAGCCTTGCCAAAAAATTTCAGTTTT